GTCTCGTAGCTCTGGTCCTCCAGCCCCTCCCCCTTGTCTCGTAGCTCTGGTCCTCCAGCCCCTCCCCCTTGTCTCGTAGCTCTGGTCCTCCATACCCCCTGTTCTGGTGACAACTTCCTGTACTGGAGGTTCCCCCCCGCTCTTCCTGTTCTGGTGACAACTTCCTGTACTGGAGGTTCCCCCCCGCTCTTCCTGTTCTGGTGACAACTTCCTGTACTGGAGGTTCCCCCCGCTCTTCCTGTTCTGGTGACAACTTCCTGTACTGGAAACAATGGTGACCAATAGAGAGGGTGAATCTCCCCAGCAATACAAACCTGACAGAGGGCCCAATCCTTACCTCCCCTCCCCCACCCCCCATGAGGTGCTTATTGCCCCAGTCTGTTGTTATTTGAAGCGCAGCGTGCATGGCTCCGCCCACATAGCTGCGTCATCCATTCCTTCCTCTGCCGGAGGACTCCGCCCCTTCCTCTGCCGGAGGACTCCGCTCCTTCCTCTGCCGGAGGACTCCGCTCCTTCCTCTGCCGGAGGACTCCGCACCTTCCTCTGCCGGAGGACTCCGCACCTTCCTCTGCCGGAGGACTCCGCCCCTTCCTCTGCCGGAGGACTCCGCTCCTTCCTCTGCCGGAGGACTCCGCCCCTTCCTCTGCCGGAGGACTCCGCCCCTTCCTCTGCCGGAGGACTCCGCTCCTTCCTCTGCCGGAGGACTCCGCTCCTTCCTCTGAGCGCCTCCCTCTGCCGGAGGCCTCCGCCCCTTCCTCTGCCGGAGGACTCCGCTCCTTCCTCTGCCGGAGGACTCCGCCCCTTCCTCTGCCGGAGGACTCCGCCCCTTCCTCTGCCGGAGGACTCCGCTCCTTCCTCTGCCGGAGGACTCCGCTCCTTCCTCTGCCGGAGGACTCCGCTCCTTCCTCTGCCGGAGGACTCCGCTCCTTCCTCTGTGCATTGTGATGGGTTACATGATGTTGTCCTGCAGTTACAGAGTCCCGGCACCGGGTGGCGCTGCAGGTTCACATTTGCTGATGTTACAATCAGCGGTCACTAGGATGTTATTATTCCATGGGACTGCGATAGGGTTTGGGGGGCCCCGTGTTGAGGTTTCTGGGTCCCGGCCGATGGATGGAGAGAGTCACACCCTGCGGGGCCGGCTGCCTCCTCTGCGCTCCCCGGTATATATATATATACTTGTGTGGGATCGCTGTGATGAGTTTCCCTTTCTATAATAATTCTTCATTGATTGCATTGGTGTCAGCCCTGACACGCATATTATCGCCCCTCCGAGAGCCCATTATATACTTATTGATCTCTGTGGCGACCACAACTCACCCCTCCTCCTGGAACGCCAGGGAATTCTGGGAAAGCTTCGCCAAGTTCTTCGCATATTCCTCCTCGATCTTTATCCTGCCGGAAGATGGAAAGTCAGAATACACCAGTGGCCCCTCCATGGCCCCCAGCGACCCCTCCATGGCCCCCAGCGACCCCTCCATGGCCCCCAGCGACCCATCTATGGCCCCCAGCGACCC